CAATCAGAAGTTTTATTGGCTATTTAGATGTTATTACTTACTACTTCATTCACATAAAAAGTCTAACCTGATATTTTAACACTTGATTTATCGTCCGAAAAGGAAGCAAGAACTCCATCTAGTTCTTTTTTAACAAACTATCCATTTTTTGAAACAATTTATATCAACACACTAATTTGGAGAGAAGGTGATTATATCAAACTTGTTTCATTAAAATTCTTTAAATTATAGTTGAATTTTAAGGAGCTTTAAATAAAAAACCTAATAGGATACTAAATTTAAGAAAATACTAAAATCTATTTAATATCATTCTAGATCTACTAAATCTACTTTGGAGTTCCTACATTACTTTAAGAGAAGCTTCCATCGTCAAAAAAATCTAAATAAAAATCTATTTTAGGGTCAAGTTTAGATGTTAAAAAACCTTAATTGTCTATATATCCTTGATTTATTAAAGTACTAAAGATTTACTAAGAAACTGATGCCTTGATGTTTTAAGTGACAAAATTTTATGCGTTTAATTGAATTAAGCACTCTAAAATCAGAATATTTTCACCTTTTTTTTCATTTGAGAAATTATTAAAAGTACCTGATTTATCAACTTAAATTAGCAGTTAATTATATTGAGGAATATATGTTATCCAATTAGGGAGAGTTTGAATCTAGAAATTTCTATAATAGAATACATTTCTTATATTTACCTGAACTTATATATAAAGAGGTATAAAAAATATTTAGGCAGTTTATCCAACCAATAGACTTTAACCTATACTTAAATCCTTGAAGTAACTATTTCCGCTCTTATCAGTTTGTTGAAGTTATAATTAAGTGTGTATTATCAAGTTCACAGAAGTAGGTATCTGCCTTAATCCTTTATTTCCTAAAATTAATTAATTAATTATTTATCAATTTAAAATATTCTTAATTTGAAACTCTATGATAATTAATTAATAAAATTTTACCAATAAAATAAGCACTTTTTTGATCTGGCGTCAAACAAACGCTATTTGAATTTTCATCTGGAAATTGCAGCTTAGATTAAATGTAAGGGTTTTCTAAATCTTCAATATTAATGATGACTAATTCACCTTTTTCTATCTAAGTAGCAAGGAGATAACTTTAGTTAAATATCGAAATCACACTTTAAGCCCAACCATCAAGGGGCTGCTAGCTCAAAAGTACAGGTTACGTTTTATTCTCAATATTCATTATTAATATACCTTAGAAGCCATTACACACAAATGAATATCTTTCATCATCAGATAAAATCATATATTCAGAACCAAGTTTTTGCAAAAAATAAACTAACTCTATCTTTTAACTATTAAAATCAAAAAAGAGTAACCCTTCTTCTCTACAAGCACAAATAATTGTATGAAGATCACTAGTAATTACACATTTTTCAAAGCTACAAGAAAATTTTGTATTTAAAT